CAACTGTCTTTCACTTATGACATGCAGAAGACTATCCCTCCTTTGTCTAACACTAAAAATGTACTTGATAATAAATAAAATTGGCATTCTTTTATAACATCAAGTATCTACCACCTCCTATGGCAATTTCCTTCAGCCCAGTTATATAATCAGTCCTATTCCTCACAACACGGCTTAAACCATTCCAGTAATGTTACTCTGTAATATACTACTAAACTGAATTTTAAGTCATTGCAATTTAGTTTAATTTAGGTTTCTATTTGCATGCATGATGTATTACTAAAAATTGAAAATCAAGTATAGTATAATAGTATAGTGGGAATACTATCTGATCAGCACTGAAAAATTTAGTATGTGGAGATATGCTGTGTAAGAATTGTCTATGTTTTTGTGATCTGCTCATTTTATTCCTGTGTCTTTACAGTGCCTATAATCTTCCTAGTTTCCATGCTAGTACTCAGTTGTTAAGTTCCTTAAGTGGCTACGCCTATACCAAACGAGCATGGAAGAAAGATGTTTTAGACCTATTTATGGATCCTGCCTTTTTTCAGATGGATACTTCATGCATTCAGTAAGATATATATTTAAAAGTGTGTGACATGTTTTTGACTGAACTAATTGGCAAATTGCAACAGGTTATAGTTCAGTTGTAATTTTAAGGTGCACTTGGAATCAGTGCCAGTTAGTTAAAATTCATTGGCCTTCATTAAAGGAATTAAATGAATATGACATCACTGTGCAAAGAAAAACATCTTAATACGATTTTCATTCTTTTTTTTTCTGAACCATGATTTTAAAGAAATTCAATATGTAACTTTAAATAGAATTCTTGTGGCACCTGAAATTGAACACCTTTATTATAGCATAAATTTGTGGATTATAATGCACAAAAGAGTGTTCTATGAGAAACATATTAGTCTTTAATGTGCCACAAGAATCTTGGATGATTTTGCTGCAAAAAGGAAATATAATTACCATCCTCTAAATAGTAATTAAAATAATATTTCAAAAAAAGAAATCAACTTTATAGAACATCAGTTATAAACCTGAGTCATCTTATGACTTATCTTAAGCTCTTATGACTTGTCATAAATGAAAAGCATATGCACCAGGTTTCATAGACCCACTATGCAACATATTTGCAGAATTTTCATGGGGTAAGTGTCATCCTTCTTTACACTTGTTTAACAAAAAAATGATACATGGCTTCCATTTCAATTACACCAAACTTTACTTTTTTTTCCAGCTGGCGAACCATTATCGATCACCTACTTACACATGAAAAAACTATGTTTAAAGATTTGATGAGTAAGCATTTTCTCATAATTGTTACTGAGCTAACTGCTAGAAAATATAGAATACAAATAGAGAATGGAAAAATCAAGAAAGCTATTTATTTGTTCATTTAGTAGATTTTATATAATTCTAATGCCAAAGTTTTTGTCAATTTACATTCAGAAAAAGTTGAAAACTAAATGCCACTAACAATATAAAGCACGAATAAAGTTAATAGCCTGGACAACATGCATTTTAAGACATTGAAAGAGTTAAACTTCCTAGTTAGGACTCTAACTATAAAAGATTAGTACAAACAACTCATTGGGTATACACAGTGACTGCAGTAGCAATAGCTAGAAATATTTCAGTTATATTGTTAAGTTTAGAGAAAAAGAATCCTACTTTTCTGGTTCATCAGTTAAAAATATTTGAAGTTCTGTAAATGTCAGTAGATTGATGTCATAATAGCTGATTTGTAAACACTAGCTTTAGTTGGTCTGACAGTTTACTATAAGATGTAAGCAGGTAGCTCAAGAGGATAGGTAGCATATAAAGGGCAGTTTAGTACCACATTATTCATATGTTTCTATTATAATTTTGATCCTTGTACCTGCTAAGACAATTCTTGAGATAGATATATTAACATCCATTTTCTTAATTGTAGATATGCAGAGTAGTTCCTTAAAACTTTTTCCAAGTTTTGAACAAAAGGCAATGTTGTTAAAGCGTCAGGCCTTTGCTGTTTTCAGTGGTGAAATTGATCAATATCATCTTTATCTTCCTTTGATACAAGGTGAGTGATAATTTGTTTATGTTATAGATAAAGGATGTGATATAACTTATAATATTAACTAAAAGGGATAAAATAATTTTATAATGAAGTTAAAAAAGTCTATAAGCAACAATTTTTGTATATATGGCAGTGGAAGTGTGGAAGTGTGCAGACACACATTCATTATTTTAATAACTAATTCAAGCATACATTCCAACTTGATGCTTTTTGATAATGTAGTTTTGACTCACATTATCCTAGCCATCATGGTAAGGCAGCATGTCTTGTAAATAGGAATTATCAAAAAATGTAATATTATCCCCAGATTCAAAATCCACTAAAGTTATAAATTGATTTGCATTTTAATGAGTGAAATAAGTATTTGACAAAACATGACTTTCACAAAACATGACTTAGTACTTGGTGGCAAAACCCTTGTTGGCAATCACAGAGGTCAGACATTTCTTGTAGTTGGCCACCAGGTTTGCTCACATCTCAGGAGGGATTTTGTCCCACTCCTCTTTGCAGATCCTCTCCAAGTCATTAAGTTTTCGAAACTCACGTTTGGCAGTTCGAACCTTCAGTTCCCTCCAAAGTTTTTCTATGGGATTAAGGTCTGGAGACTGGCTAGGCCACTCCAGGACCTTAATGTGCTTCTTTCTGAGCCACTCCTTTGTTGCCTTGGTTGTGTGTTTTGGGTCATTGCCATGCTGGAATACCCATCCACGACCCATTTTCAATGCCCTGGCTAGGGAAGGAGGTTCTCACCCAAGATTTGACGGTACATGGCCCTGTCTCTCATCCCTTTGATGCAGTGAAGTTGTCCTGTCCCCTTAGCAGAAAAACATCCCCAAAGCATAATATTTCCACCTCCATGTTTGATGGTGGGGATGGTGTTCTTGGGGTCATAGGCAGCATTCCTTCTCCTCCAAACACGGCAAGTTGAGTTGATGCCAAAGAGCTTGATTTTAGTCTCATCTGACTACAACACTTTCACCCAGTTCTCCTCTGAATCATTCAGATGTTCTTTGGCAAACTTCAGACGGGCCTGTACATGTGCTTTCTTGAGCAGGGGGACCTTGCGGGCGCTGCAGGATTTCAGTCCTTTATGGTGTAGTGTGTTACCAATTGTTTTCTTGGTGACTATGGTCCCAGCTGCCTTGAAATCATTGACAAAATCCTCCCATGTAGTCCTCACCGTTCTCATGATCATTGAAACTCCACGAGGTGAGATCTTGCATGGAGCCCTAAACCGAGGGAGGTTGACAGTTATTTTGTGTTTCTTCCATTTGCGAATAATCACACCAGCTGTTGTCACCTTCTGACCAAGCTGCTTGGCAATAGTCTCGTAGCCCATTCCAGCTCTTTGGTCTTTGCCATGGTGGAGAGTTTGGAATCTGATTGACTGATTGATTGCTTCTGTAGACAGATGTCTTTTATACAGGTAACAAACTGAGATTAGGAGCACTCCCTTTAAGAGAGTGCTCCTAATCTCAGCTCTTTACCTGTATAAAAGACACCTGGGAGGCAGAAATATTGCTGATTGATAGAGGATCAAATACTTATTTCACTCATTAAAATGCAAATCAATTTATAACTTTTTTGAAATGCGTTTTTCTGGATTTTTTTATTGTTATTTTAACTCTCACAGTTAAAATAAACCTACCATTAAAATTATAGACTGATCATTTCTTTGTCAGTGGGCAAAATCAGCAAGGGATTAAATAATTTTTCCCTCACTGTATATCAAATCAAGATTCTACTTTACTCACACAAATACACAGATATATTCATTGTTCTCCATAAATAAAAAGGACAGGCTTCTATCCAATGTTAGGGTTAGGAAGATAATTTATATTTGCAGTTCTAGGATGGGCTAACTACATTCAATTCACTACTGACTTAACATTATGTTAGTTAAATTGTAGAATCATGGCCATTACTCAATAAATACTACAACTTTTGTTTGTGTATCACTTGGTCACACAATGACATCATCTGGGCTTTTCATTGAGACACAGAAAATGAACTCTGTTGGACAGGTGTAGGCAGGCAAAATGTGGGTGGGAATGACAAAACATGTATCATGAAACAAAACCATAACTCACACAACTTCATGAGACAGGGGCATGTAAAGACAAATTTTGAATAACTTCCTTGTACACATCTCATCATTTTGAAGTAATCTTTGCTTCCTCTGGATTACTATGCCCCTGGTGCTCTAGTTTTGCTTACATAACTCTGCATCTTCATCAAGTTTATCAATTTGAATCCCTAAGCTCAGTTATAACTGGTTCTTCTGGCAACATCAATTTTGTTTATTTATTTATTAATTTGATTTATATATTTGATTTATTTGTTGACATACTTACTGTCAGTTCTATTCACAATTCCTTCTTTCTCTTAGCCTGAAAGAGTTTTGATTTTAAAAAGTTTCAGTGCTGGTTTGAAAAGAAAGTTGAGGTACACACTAACTAATAAATCAGAATGATGGTAACCAAACCACTTACATTTCAGTACTTTTCTATTCAGTACACTTAATGGTTTTAATTAGGTAGAAATTATTATTTTTATAAGTATTAAGTTTTAATACTTGAGTTTTTAATAGTCTGGATAATTTTCCTGTAAGCCATCATGAGTTAAGAACATTCAACAGCATATAAAATAGATTACACTGTCTGTTAACTTGCCCTCTTTTTTTCTTTCTCTGTTGTAATTTTTTTTCTAAGAGCGATTGACTGACAACCTACGTGTTGGACACACTTCTTCAGTAGCTGCCCAGATGTTTCTTTTTTTCAGGGTACTTTTATTGAGAATTTCCCCTCAACACCTAACCTCTTTATGGCCAATCATGGTGACAGAACTGGTAAGTAATAATTAATAGCAGAATGATAATAATAGTAGAATGAGTGATATTTTAAAGAAATAAATATTTACTAATACATTTTTCTCTTTTCTCCTCCATTTCTCTGATCATCTAGATTCAAACATTTCTACAGTTAGAGGAAATTCTAATGGCTGAACCAGCAAAGTAAGTTTTTTTTTCAATAAACTTAACAAAAAATAGGTAAATTTAGCAATTTGATCTTAATAGTTAATAATGATTGAAAATAGTTCTGTTATTTTAGAATTAAACTACAGTTTAGAAGTGGTAGAATACAAGCCATGCAGACAAATAATACACCACACACAAAAACAATATCCAATGCTCAGTTTCTGGATCTAGACTATAGAGGTATCAAGTAATGGGGAAAAAATCTTGTTCGAGAGCTTCTTGCAAGCAGAGCTGACTCAGGTAGAAAAATGGGCTGCCCTGGTATCAGGTAGCATTTCACATTCTAGGTCTTATTCTTAGAGTTCTCCCAAACTTTGCACCAATAAAGGAAGATATTTATACATGCACTTCTAAGTACAGTAAATTATTATTTTATATGTACATTTTAATGTTTACCTTTTTTGTAATTTATTAATTTAAACACCTGATAATTGGCAGCTCACCATTTGAATATTCATCCAGGAACACTGACTTTAAAATGACTTCAAGGTTCTCCCCAGGATATTAAATGGCACTTTTCTGCCTGCAAAGAATCTTTTTGAGAGGTTGCTGAGATGCAGCAGTTAGGACTAGTGGAACAATTCTATTACTAACCCCCTTGAAATATATTTGTACCCATTTTGTTGGTTGGTTTGGAAAAGAAAGAAATGTTAAATTTAAAATAGAAATGGTAATTTTTCAAATGGAAATGTCTTAGCTATATTAGCTAAGTTCCAGTAAATTTAAGTTTCAGCGGTTTGTCTTTTCAAAATTCCAGGTGCATTTGTATTTGTACTCTTGTATGAAAGGGTTTAATTAATTGTTCAGTTAGTTTTCACATTTTTAAAAAAGTCACCAGGTTTGTTCTGCAGTCTTTGATATATTTTTTTATGGATCTTACAGAAACAACAAGAAAATGAGCAGGCAGAAAGCACCATCAAATGGCAGTACTGGGTTCCTTGGTGACATACACCAGAATGAATTAACCTTGTATTTATCAGCCTGTAAATTTTTAGACACGGCACTTTCTTTTCCATCTGACAAGATGCAGTTGTTTCAGATGTAAGTGTTATATTTTTATTCTTGGCAAAATGGTAGAGCATTTGAGGGTTATCTCAGTGTGATCTGATTGCGCTTCTCTTTCTACTGCATAGCTATGCCACTTCATTAGTTTATTCAACCTAATATTTTTCTGTCACTTTCAGAATCTGGTGAAACATGTGCACCTTAAATATATATATAAATAAAATTTATAGATTCAGATTATATTGCAAGAGAATTCACCTAAGATCAAAAATAACAAATATATAATATAGCAATATATGTGGAAATAAAGTTGTATTTTTTTTCTTCTTCAAGTTTGTAGCATTTGTAGAATTTCTGGTTTATAAAACGAAGGCAAAAAATGTAGTCCTATAGGACTAAAATGACAAAAGTAACAAACATATGTAGACAAATTTAAAGAGCATTTAGATTTAAAGATTCTGTGCTGTGTCCCAAATGAGATAACCAGTGTTTTAAAACTGGATAATTTTTCCTGTTAATCCATATGATCAAAAAATAAAGCTATGTTAGATTTTGTACCTTACAGTATGTCTGTTTTTAGGTATAAGTGGGCCTTTGTTCCAGAGGTGGACATGGAGAGTTGCAGCATGATTTCAGATGTAATGGAAAATCACCAGGAATGCAAGCCTCATGTTGCTAGAATCATGGATTTATTGAAGCTAAAATATGGGGCAAGTACTATCTTTATCAAATAACTTTTATTGCCTGAAACGCCATAGTTTTCTTATCAAATAATATTTTGAAATCAATATGCTGCTCAGATATACCCAAGACAGTGTGAACAATATTCTCATGTATTGAACAGAGCTGCTTCGATTCAGCAACATTGCTCAATATTTGTATATATTTGGGAAGGCATAGTCTAGTAATCCTTCTATAGGACCCAATTCAAGTTAATTGATTAGTAGATGATACAGTTAATGTGGTGCATGCCCAATTCATGTAAAATAAGCAAAGTTATTCATACTTAATGCAAAATAAATATATGCAACCCGAGTTTATATTCAAGAAAATATGGATTGTGCTACTTTGGATAATGTTTTAACCAGACAGAGTCAGAAAATACTGTTTTTTATTTTATTCTATTTTATTTTCTAAAGGTTGTTTAGCTATTACTGGTGGAAATGTATTTAACATGTCTACATATCTATCTCAAGTTGTTGAGGGCCTGATGCACACAGATAGCTCACAAATTAGATGTGATTGTTATCTCAGGTTGAATGTGGTTTATCCAACTTCATTCTTACTTCCCAGCTTGGTTCTTCCTGTGGTTATGAAATTGTAAGTCCCAGAATATCTGGCTATGCTTCTAGAGCCTTGCTTGTAAATTGTCTGAGCTGTCATCCTACAATATTTTGAGTGCTCAAAAATATGGAAAATATTATCTATAATTTATAGAATAGACTAAGTTGAAAATGTCTATGTTCAAGCAAAAAATAATATATATATCACAGTTGATATTAAATACATTCATGCAAATGCATATTAACAATTCATTTTTTATTTTATTTTTTTCAAGGAACAAAATATAAGTGATGAAGCAACAAAAAATTGTGACTTTCCTCTTTTGGATTTTCATTCTGTATCAAACATCACACAATTAATTCCATTCTTTAATACATTAAATTCTGCTTTTAAAACTCAAGGTGGCAGATTACTAAGCACACACAACTCCAAGTCTTTTAAAAACACCTATCCCAACACCAGTGGAACAAGAATTTTGAAACTACTGGAAGAATATGTTGAACGTGATTTTATAGATAATATGGAAAATGAATCATTGTAAAACATCTGTTTGGTTCTTATAACCATCAAGTTTCATTTTGCTAAAATGTGAAATGCTTGAAGCAATATGCAACTTTCCATTGCTTTACCAAATTAGCTTGTTAAAATGAAGAATCATTATTTTTCAATTAAAATAATCATTTAATTGAGATGCTTGTTTATGAATGCAGTTTTGTTGACTTTCAATGTAAAAAGAAATTCCCTTCTACCAGGAAATACAACATTCTACATTTCTCAAAAGATAAATTGTTCTAATTTTAATTCTGCTCTAAACAACTTCTGCATAGCAACTTACTAAAACAAATTAGCATAGTTTACATTACTCACGTTTTTCTAACCCCAAAGTAATAGTCCACACATTTGCAATATTGATCAGCCCTCTAGGTGGACCAAAGCAGAAAATCAATTCCACAGAATAGTGAAACTTCCTATTTTTATTGAGATTAGCTATAATGGCAGAATCTTGCCAGTTAGATTAGTTTGCCTGAGGTGCTTCAGAACATTGTCTTATTCTGGCCTTAATAATGAATGCTTCAAGTCCTTTTGCCTAGGTAACAGATCATGCATAATAAGGCAGATGCCTTACTCTCTATAGGTGGTTGACTCATAGCCTGTGGAAGGCTGAAGTCCCCTCTATCCTATTGCAACCCCACATTGGCATGATCATTTCCACTTCAGTGTTAGGCCTATGATTATAAGCAAAAACAAATTTGGTAGCAAGTAGGTTTCACCAAACCCAATGACACTTGCTTTTTCAGTAAATATTTTTAAGATTTGTCTTTATGTTTCCATCAAATTTATGAATAACCATTCTAAAACTAGAAAATGATTTTTTTACTTCGAAGTTTTAACTAAATTAAAGCCATTGTTGCCTTTTACAGTTTGCTGTATGGTACTTAATCGAAATAGGCCAATAAGAATGTAAAAGTATGTCTAAAAAATGTATAGTTCCTAAAGACATGTATATATGTTTAGTATGTATGGATTACTATGCTGCATTGTAAGTACCTACTTTCCAAACCTGTTCACAGTTTTGCTGACACATTCTTGGGCAAAAATGTACATTTACTGAAAGTATTGTAGAGGTAGTCATTGACTTACGACCTCAATTGAGCCTAAAATTTCTGTTGCTAAACGAGACATTTGTTAATTTTGCCCCATTTTACAACCTTTCTTGCCTCCATTATTAAGTGAATCATGCAGTTGTTAAGTGGGTAACATAGCTATTAAGTGAATCTGGCTTCCCCATTGACTTTACTTGTCAGAAGGTTGCAAAAGGGGATCACATGACCCCAGGACACTGCGACGTCATAAATGTGAGTTGCCAAGTGTCTGAAATTTGATCATGTGAACGTGGGGAGGCTGCAATGGTTGTCAGTGTGAAAAACAGTCATAAGTCACTTTTTTCAGTATCATCGTAACTTTGAATGGTCACTAAACAAACTGTTGTTAAGTGGAAGACTACCTGTATAAGACTGGAAGCAAATAGTTTTATAGTTAAAGATGCTTTTTGAAAGATAGTGGCTTTTGTTCCAGCTAGGTTTTTGCACAAGCTTTGTAATACATGAGCAGAAGATCATGATAAGAAGATCAAAGATGCCACACAAGTAGCTAGAAACAGAAAAACATAGATAACAAAGCAAAAAATGTGTATATTCAAAAACTACTACTCTGTTCTTTAAATGCATTTAATGTTGTACTTTTTTAAGTTCAGATTTTTTTATGTGACTGTCCTTCTTTCTCCATCTGTGATGATTAGCACTTTGAGTTTCTCAAGTAATATACACTGGGCAAAAAACAGCACCAATGTGAACATTTCTGTGTCCCATTTAGTTAAACCTTTGTTGAATTTGTTAAATGTCAAAAAATGGCACATTTTTCATTTAATTAGTTTTGCTTCTCGTTAAATGCCCAATTAGATCATAAACACCTGATGTATGATGTAAAGATGTACTTATTTTAATATTGTAAATTATTTATGTGTTTTGTAAACTTAAATATACTTTAAACTTTCTTTATCATTATGAATGTATACTTATGCCTTTCTAAATGTTTTTGATCAAAGATATATGTTCTGCTGTATAATAGATACTGCTGTATAATACTGTGTGTTTCCTGTTATGTGGAAATTTAAACATTTCCAAAATCTTTGACAAGGTTGCTAGCTCTCAGGGAAAATAGACAGTCTTTATTTGCAGTGCTAGTTGTGTCACAGGAGAATCTCACATGTCCCTTGCTCTTTGTTTATTCTGAGGAAGTGCAGCTAATATTAGCTGTTTTACAATACATATAATTCCCAGATCTAATTTAATCCTCTAAATTTGAAGTTTAGTATCCTAAATACATTGTAACTTACTCTTCCATTACGTCCACCACTAAACTTTCTTTTTTTTCCTCGCTTCTGTTTTCTTTTCTCCTCCATCCACTTTGAACTTATCTCAGGGGCTGTATTTATGACTTTATTGTAACTTTCAGTGTCATTTATAATGCCCTTAATTGCTTATTACGGTAGTTCACCTTCTCTATAAGATATATTGATGCTTGATGCCTGCAGGAGGTCATTTGCTGCTACATTGTTGAACATCATTCAGTCTTGCAAACAATATATTGCCTTTGTTTCTTCAGGGCCCATTTTCCCAAATCCTGTAACAAAATGTATTTCAATTAATTGAAAATGTACCTGACCAGTTGGATTAACAATCGTTGGATCTCTATAATATTTCAGTAGATTTACTGTGCACAACTTGTAGCTACACAGCAATGTGAGATTGATAGCAAACAGAGCCAGTTTGGTCTAGTGGTTAAACCATCAGGCTAAAAAGCTGGAAACTATGAATTATAATTCCGCCTTAGCCATGAAAGCCAGCTGGGTGACCTTGGGCCAGTCACTCACTCTCAGCCCAACCCACCTCACAGGGTTGCTGTTGTGGGGAAAATAAAATGAGAAAGGTTATGTGTTGGATACGTTCGCTGCTTTGAGTTATATGTAAAAATAATAAAGGCAGGATTTTTTTTTCAAAATTTGAAATTAATATTGTCTGGTTTGGGAAATAGCACTATTGAAATGTTTGTTTTCCAAGTAATCATAATATAGATGAAGTTTTGATTTGATACTATTTTAAAATGATTGATAACTGAGTATCTAAGGCAGACATGTCAAACTCGTGATGTCAAGTGTTGTTGCGCAACGTATCAGGACGGTTTGCCATTGCCGGCAATGGGGTGGGCGCAGCTTCCAGATGACGCGTCCGGCCCGCGGGCCAGCAGTTTGACACCCCTGATCTAAGGCAATAATTTATGACAAAAAGAAACGGGGGATGTAATTACATATTTAAAATGATTGGCAAAGGAGAGTGGAGTATTAAGGTAAATAGGTGCTGTATAAAGATGTAATTAATGTTGAATGTAATTTTCATAATCAATGTTATTGCAGAACACCACCTTGAACATTAAATGTTTGTTTCTACCACTTATATTCTTCATTTAGATTGGTCTTTCATACTGAATGTTTTGTTTCTAAATCATAACCTTTTGAAATATCCACACACCTACCAATGAACAGTTAAAAATAAATCATTTTAAAACAAAGTTTCAATTCTTAACTTGCAATTATTTTGATAATCTATTAATATTTTTTGGATTTCATTTATCATTGAACATATAACGGACACTTTGATAGCATATACTGTAAGATACAGATTTAATTTCTGAATCTAAGAACATGTACAGTTTTCATATGGAAGGTTGACATATCTATCGATTGTCATCCTGATGAATGGCACCCCAATTTGTGCCAGGGTAAAAGGTTGTCTGTGAAAAACTTGTAAAATATTGAAGAAATATGTAGGGAAAGTTGGTGAGGAAGAGTTGCAATAATACTGCAGAAAAGATGAAAAATATACTGGCTCTGTCAATTGTATGTACAAGCCCCAAATTCTCTGTCTGAAGTCAGCCAGCATTTATCAAGAACATAAGCAGAGTATGCCAGCAAAGAAAGGCTGGAATATGCCACATCACTGTTAATTAAGGTCACCCTTAAGGTAGACTTCAACCAGTCCATCAAGTTGAATGTAAAAATTAATGTAAAAGTGGTAGTCCTCAATGATGGTAGCTGGGACCAGAATTTCTATCACTGAGTGACACAATTCTAAAGTGCAAACTCATATGACTGCACCGCTTAGTGACAGAAATTCTGGCATTTCCAGTTGCCATCAAGTGAATCACTGGGTCATTAAAGAAGGCCATCACGTGGTTGCCATTTGTGACCAAGTGCTGGCTTCCCTGCTGACTGCTTGCAGAAGCTGTAAAAGAAGGTTGCAAATGGTGGTTATATGATCTTCGGATGCTGCAATGGTCTGAGGACAAGTCGTAAGTACTACGTGTTCAGTACCTCTGAAAGTTTGAGTGGTTGCTGAATGGTCATTAAACAACAGCCACCTGTAATGGAGAAAGGATACAATCTTGTTTTATACCTTTGTAAATAGAGATGAGTTAAGTCCCAGGTGGTTACCTATAAATTGAATGGTACAGTTTATTTGTTGAATTTATTTGCCACCAATCTCATAGCAAACAACTCTGGGCATTTGTACTACCACAGGGTAATACTACAATTAAGGACACACCAGACATCGAAATGGCAGTTAATTTCCTCTAGAGTTTTACAAGTTACTGAATCAAAGGTTGCCCTTAAGTCTGTCAAGGCAACATTAACTTTTCACTCATTATCAGCAAATTATACACACTAATATTAATTTCTATTCAAGAAAATGTTGCTGCCTCATTAGGCTGGTTTCAGATCTGGACATTCCACAGTGGAGCAATAATTTTATCAGTTATGCGTTAATAAATATTGTAATAGAAAATCATCCTAAATTTAAGGGGGGAAAAAACTTGTTTAAGTTGCTTAGAGCACAGAGCAGAAAGCAACATACTTTTCAAGTCCCAATACACATGACATTATGAATTAAACAAATTTAACAAAGTTTAAATTAAAATAGCATTGTTCAAAGTCTTAGTGGATTTCATGTTCAAAAGTAGGGGTTAGCTTAGGATTCACATTTATTGTTGTTTTGACCCAGTGCTACTCAACAGCTTACTCGTGAGGAAAACCCCTTTTCAGTTAGCAAGGCATGAGCAAGGCAGGACTCATGAGAAAATAACCCCTTTTTATTTTAACAAGGCATTTATGGAATAAACTCCAGGTAACCAGTCCTTAGATGTAAAACAAACAGTAGCAGTCTCTGCTCTCACTTGGCTGAGATAAGTACAAAGTCTCTTGAGTTCTCGGCAGCAAGGCTCAATTAACAATTCAAACCAAACACAAAGAAATCCAACAAACCTGGATAATTGGCAAAGAGTCCTGGCAAAAGAAATCCGACAGAGAAACAAGATAACAAAGCATGAACAGTTGCCTGTGGCAACTGGCGCCTCCCACACCTCTTTATAGTCCAAGTCCAATCAGGGCGTGGCTTCTTAGAGTCTCTTACTTTTCCTGGAAAGCTGCCCCAGCACTCTCCGTTGTCCTGCATGCCTCTCCTTTCTGTGCATACGTGCATCTGGACAGACCCCAGCTGTTCCTCTTGCTCAATTCAGGCCAACACAGCTGTTTTTCTGCCTTAGTGTGAGCAAATGGGCCCAGCTCTGCATTTGGCTCTGAGTCTTCTTGCTCCTCAGAACCTTCTGCAGACTTCCATGTGAACCCAGACAGCCCTTCCCCCTCATCCGATTCACCTGACTCGGCTGCCGGATCCGCTGGCAGTCGAGAAAGCACAACACTTGTCTCTTATGGCTTTAGTTATTTTCAAAAACATTTACATGTTTAATACCATTATCTCCAATTGTTTCTGCAAATCAACTATAGATTTCTAAAAGTCCTTCAACAAAAATAATTGTTACATTGAGTATGGAGGCTGAAGACGTTGCCAATTTACTAACTAGGTTTGTTAGATTCAGATCCCAAATCATCATTGCAAAACCATTGAGCAATTATAATGAAATATTTATCACTATAAGACCTAATTCCAATGTTAACAAATAACAAATACCAGCAATCCTTTGCTGCAAATCAGCTGTACATCTTTCCAGTACAGGATAT